CTTGCCAGACAAGTGCTTATTCTACTGCGCCATCTCCCTGGCCCCTAAAAGTTGAGAATGTTTTTTTTGTTTTTTGTTTTTGGCTGGCTCAGGCTGCCTTAAGTGCGGGTCTGGTAATACAGGCAGAGGTAGGCAGGACATTGGACACAGTAGGCAAGTACTCTCACTGAGCTATATCTGCAGTCTACTATTTTAATGACTAAAAATTTATCTGAAGCTTCATGTCTCATTATCATCTCCTAAACTTACACTATCTCCCAAAAAAATCTAACTTAAAGAAAATTCACTGAAAAAAAAATCCCAATAGTGTATGTGATTTTTATAAGGATAACTGGTTATGTATATTTATCTTTAAATAAATTTTCAAAAAAAAATAAAAAATAAATCTTCATGAGAAAGTATCAGAATATATCTGCTACATAAAATAAGATGCATCTTTTATGGAGACAGCCAAATGAAATTTGAAAATACTTATAGGTATTAGCTCCTAATAAACACATGCTGTAGACTGCTGTAAAAGGCTAAACTGATCACCTGAAGGCAGCTCTTTAAAACCGAGTTCCTCTGACTCTTCTGCAACTTTTCCATGAAGCACTAGCGTGTCCCGATACTTTCGATGAAGTCTGAATTCTGACCCTGAAGCTGGAGCCGGGAGATCTTCACAGCTCTCTTTTGGGTCCAGTTTAAGGGTTTGAGTCATCAATTGCATTAAGTCACTCATTTCATTTGTATGACTTTTCCTGGAAAAAAAAAAAATCCCTCCTGTTCTTTTGTTAGCTTCACAAAAATTCTTTATTTAAGGTTAGATGCAGGGCTGGTGATGCAGCTCACTAGAATGGGGCTTGCATGGACAGGGCCTGGGTGTGATGCCCACACACGTGCACAGACTGGAATGCTGCTTCCAAGTGTCCATGCAAGCTCCTAAAGACTGGTTAATTAATACACAAATAAAAACTATAGATACTATGCAAAACACAAAAAATATAAAATTAACTATGTGACGGTAATGGAGAATGAAAAGATCTGAAGTAAATTCGGGAACAGAGTCAACACTTTTTGGCCTAAAGGCAGGCCACAGATAAAAGGTACAAGAAAAACCTGTAGTATGGCTGGCCTGCAGAACCAAAAGATAGTGTGTAAGACAATTATTGCCAATAGAAAGTGAGAGAGAAATCTTGGAAAAGAGCAGGCCTAGAATAAGCTGCCCCAGATTCTTGGTATAAATTCTGCCCAAACATTCCAGGTAACTTAACTGCATCCAAATACAAAGTTCAAAAATATTTAAAGAAACACAGGGCTGGGGAGATAGCTCAGTGGTCTAAGCACCACCCTAGCAAGCATAAGGACCTGGGTTTGATCCCCAGTATCACATGCTGTGCTGGCCCCAGGACCCAGGCATGGTGGCTCACGCCTGTAATCCCAGTGCTGGGGAGGCTGAAACAGAAGGATCACTGTAAGTCTGAGCTGCATAGTAAGACCCTGTACCAAATAAATAAAGATTTAAAAAAAAATTTTTTTTAAATCCAGAAATACCAGCCTCTGAGATAAAATTCACAGGGTCTAGATCCAGGCAAAAATTATCAGAGATGGGGCCGGGGAGATGGCTCAGTAGAATAAGCGCTTCCCTGGCAAGCGCAAGGGCCTGAGTTCAATCCCCAGTTCCACCAAAAAAAAAAAAAAAAAAAATTATCAGAGATGCTGTTACTTCAAGGCCAACCTGGACTATGTAGTGTTAATTCAAAAGCCGCCAGAACTACATGGTGAAATCCAGAAGCAGGAGCACAGCACTGATTTGTAAAGAAAAAAAAAACTCAGTTAATAGAAATAGACCCAAAGGTAAAACAAAAGATAAAATTAGTAGATGAGGACATTAAAACGGTTATTATAAGTGTATTTCATATGGCCATGATAGATATTGTGGATTTCTGCTGGTCTATGGAAAGGAGTACTTAATGCTTAACTTTTGTGTGCTCTTTTTTCTTTTTTCCCCCTCTTTCTCTCTTCTTCTTTTCTTTCTCTCTTCTTAATTTCTTTTAAAAAATGTATTTGGTACAGGGTCTCACTATGCATCTCAGACTGGTAGTGATCCTCCTATTTTCAATCTCCCCAGGGCTGGGATTACAGATGTGCGCCACCATGGCCAGCCTCAGTGGCTGGCTCAGTGCGCCTGGATGCAGGCCTGCACGACATACGGTGCTAGGGTGGAACCCTGGCTCCCGTGCTTGGCTAAGCGCGCGCTTGGTCTATTGAGCTATCTGATCTAAATTTCAGCCGGGGCCAGGGAGATACCAGGACTGGGGAGATGGCTCAGTAGAATAAGCGCTGTCCAATCCCCAGTTTCACCAAAATAATAAATAAATAAATAAATTTCTTTTAACTTTTTTCTTTCTTTTTCTAATTTTGCATGCATATATCTGGTAATCTGAATAAGTTGAAGACAACTCTATGCAATACAACAAATGCTGTTGAATTCATTATTTTAAGTGAAATTCTGTATAATTTCTAAATTTTATTATTATTTTGTATTCTCTTTAAAAGAATTAAAAAATAAAATAAAAAACATAAACTGGTTAAGAAGAGGCACAAAAGAAAAAAAGAAGACCCAAATCCCTTTTAAAAATGAAAAATATAATTCTGTTAACTACATGAAATAGGATAAACAGAATGGAAACTACAGGAGAAAAGATCAGTGAACTCAAAGATACAGCAACAGAATCTAAGAAAAATGAAACAAAGAAAAAAAGTAGGAAGAATGACTCAGAAACTAGAGGAGTGCATACCTGTCATCCCAGCACTCTGGGAGGATGAGGCAAGCTGGACAACTGAGCAACTCAGTGAGATCTGGTCTCACAATAAAAAACAAAAAGGGCTGGGGATGCAGCTCAGTGCAAAAGCTGGGTTCACCCCCTGGTAGCCCCCAAAAGAAAATGAGTGAACCAAGCATCACTGAGGTTTGAATAACTTTAGACAGTCTAATACACATTTAACTAGAATCCCCAAGAGGACAAGAGAAAGTCAAGTAAAAACTGAAGAAGTAATGGCCAACCAATTTCCTGTGATGGATGTACTTATTATGTAGCATAAACATATACTAAGAAAAAACAGCCAGGGCTGGCAAAATAGCTCAGCAGACTAAGCACCTGCGTAGTCTGAGCTGATTTGATCCCAGGCACCACATGCCCCGCCGGCCCCTCCCCTGGGATGTGCTGAGCCAGAGACCGAGTCTGGGCATGGTGGAACATGCCTGTAATCCCAGCACTGGGGAGGCTGAAAACAGGAGGATCACTACCAGTCTGAGCTGCCTTGTGAGACCCTGTACCAAATACATTAAAAAAAAGAAAAAAGAAAAAAAAAGCCAAACTTTTCCAATTCTAACGAAAACTGTAAAACCAGATGTGCTCACTGAAGAGTTATTTATACCATAAAACATATATATTATTAGTGTGAGTACTACAAGTCAGAATGCTGCTATAAATTACATTTAGGATCATTCAAAAAGAAAGTTTCTGAAGGGAACCAGAAAAGAACTTACCCATCCTTGGAATCCCCATCTGATTTATCAGTTGAACTTGTAGAAGAACTTAGCTCGTCCTCAGACAGACAATTAATCAGTTTTCTTTCCTATTAATGTTTAGAAAAAACAAAAGTCCACATGATGACACAACCAGAATGTAACACAGGAGTGGCTTGCCAGTCTGAGATGTAATGGCCCAACTACGTACACCTACACGCAAGTTAACGGGAAACTAGGAGATGCAAAAACTACAGTTATTCTGTGCAAGGACATCCCAGTTCACTTACAAAGTTTACAAGTGAGACCTAAGATATACTAGTGTAAAGTTTTACAAGGTGCTGGAGAATCTCTGCTGTGAAGAAACTCTCTTTCCAGAAGAAGTAGAAGATTCATTCTGTGTTCCAACTCATTAGAAGAGGGCTTGTTCTATAAAGAATACTGTCATTTTAAACAGACAGTCATCTAAATCAGGCACTTTCACCTTGTTCATATAAAAAACTAAGGTGCTTTAAAAGGTTACTTGAGGGACCGGGGAGATGGCTCAGTGGAGTAAGCGCTTCCCTGGTAAGCGCAAGGACCTGAGTTCACTCCCTGGTTCCGGAAAAAATAAATAAATAAATAAAATAAAATAAAATAAAATAAAAGGTTATTTGATCTAATTAACCCAAACCCCACAACTTTGGGAAATGGAGAAGCAGCCTAAATTTGTAAAATGCATAAATGATACAGTTTAAAAAAATGGAGGCCGGGGAGATGGCTCAGTAGAATAAGCGCTTTCCTGTCAAGCGCAAGGGTCTGAGTTCAATTCCTGGTTCCGCCAAAAAAAAAAAAAAAAAAAGACCTTGTTACTTTCAAAGGGCAGAAAAATTCATGCCCGGGGTATTTACTTACTATACAGATAGAGATGAACATGGCTTAGAAATACTGCAGTTACCAGGTAGCCACCAGATGGTGGGTCTACATTATCCAGAGACAAGAAGGTGAGCTGACACAAACAGGAAACTGAGGGATGATAATTAGCAAAAGAAATTAAAATCTGGCCACATATTGTATATTCTAGTAACAGCAGAATAAGCAAAGTGTTGCCTAGTGAAAGCTGTTAGTGGAACTGTAATGGTCCTGAGTTTCATTTCTGGTACACAAACAAACTCTTAGTAAGTCTTCTTTTAAAAATTATCGGGCCAGGGAGATGGCTCAGTAGAATAAGCGCTTGCCTGGCAAGTGCAAGGGCCTGAGTTCAATACCCAGTTCTGCCAAAAATAAATTAATAAATAAATAGAACAAAAATTACCTGAAAAAGATTCTTTTTAAAAAAAATTTATTTGGTACATGGTCTCACAGCAACTCAGATTCATAGTAATCCTCCTGTTTTCAGCCTCTCCAGTGCTGGGATTACAAGTGAGACCTAAGATATACTAATGTAAAGGGATTACAGGCATGCACCACCATGCCCAGTCTCGGTAGCCAGCTCAGCACACCCGGGGGTGGGGCCAGCACAGCATGTGGTACCCGGCATTGAACCCTGGTCCCTGCACTTGCCTAAGGAGGCACTTGAAAAAGATTCTTAACTAGACTGCCAACTATTTACAAGAATTCCCGAAAAACTTATACCCTTAGTGAGTCAAACATTTTAATTATTGTTTACTAGCACCTTTCCTTATCAAGAGTGCAGATGTGTGGCTTATCCAGCCCCTGTCTCTGAAAGAAATGGCGCTGACTTGTACAAGGATTACTGCAGAGGTTGAAGGATGCAGACATGGCCACCCTTTCCCTCAGGAAAACACACCTGAGTGCGGTTGTAGTCAGAAGAGAACCGTCGGGCAGGGAGGGGTTGGCCTTCCTCCTGCAGTTTCCCAGGATCCACTGCACTCAGAGAAGTTCTCCTCACTGCAGGACCTAAAACACAGAACATACTCAGTAATTATTTGTGGTGGGCTAGTCTCAATTAAAGAGGGCTCTGCACATGTATAGAAGATACTGCAGGCAAAGGCCAGCCAGAAGTCACTCAAAACACATCTTCATCATCACTGTGCTGACATCTCAGTTCAAATCTTACTTCTGGGTTTTCCACTTCTGTGACCTTAGGTAAGTTACTTACCCCCTCAGAATCTCAGTTTTTCCCCCAGCAGAAAGGGAATATGTTGCTTACCTTTGGGAGTGACTATAAATGAGGTAATACCCTTAAAATGTTCCCCATAACATGTTTAGATATTTATCTAAACAGTAGGAGCAGCTACAGTAAAACTGTGTTTCAATAAAGGTAATAAATGATTACAGCCCTTAGCCCAGGGCAACACCATTCTCTGGCTTCTCTCTGTTCCTGAGAAGAAAACACTTCTGAGTGGACATGGAAGCAAGCTAAACATTCACCTGATTTCCAACCTGAAATCTCCCAGGAGTTACTGTCACTCAAAGAACGCTTGCACTTTTTTTGCTATTACCTTTCTCTGATGATACTGTTTCAGAGTCAATAGCTTAATTTTTTTTAAAATTTATTTACTTAGTGTGTGTGTGTGGCCAGCTCAGCCCACCAGGGGGCGAGGCTGGCTGGCATGCAGTGCTGGGGGATTGAACCGCGGTCCCTGTGCTTTGCCAAGCTTGTTCTAAGTAGGTGCTCTAGACCACTGAGCCATCTCACCAGCCCGTTACATTAATTTTTAAAAAAAGACTTGCCTAAGAAATTGATTGATTGATTGATTGATTGATTGATTGATTCAGACAGGGTCTCACTTGAACTCACTATGTAGCCCAGGCTGGCCTTAAACTTGTGGCAATCTTTGTGCCTAAGCCTTCTAAGTGCTAGGATTAGTGGCCTATTCCACCATGCTTGGCAATCTCACAAATTTGAAAATTCTTTCAAATCTACTTCCCACAAGAATTGCCACCACTTGAAATCAACTCTTGATAATCAACTAGTATTCAAGAGCCAACCACTGGCTGTCAATTAGATGAAGAAACAAGGTCACCTTCAAGTGAGGGGAACATCTCTTCCCGTGACTGCTTTAGTCGCCTTCTCTCTCTGGCTGATAATGGTCGATCCTTTTAAAGAAAGTCACAGAGTCATTACTGTTCCTAGTTACTATTTGTGTAACACACTGCATGATGTACCACCGAGTACTGGGAAAGAAGCCTTGAGCTTGCCTCTAAAGGGGTGTCCACTAGAAACCAATCCAACCCACGTGACAGCTAGTGGTGAAGGACTACAGTCTTTGTGGGGAGATACTCATTTTGGAAGGGCAAGGGGGAACTTTTTTATTTTCGGAATCTACTTAGTCTGTTTAGCTAACTGGAAATGACAATCTGTGAAAACATCTGTGGAATCTGTCCAAGTCAATCTGAGCCTCTGCTGAAAATCACCAAGCTGGTTCTTCCAGTGTCTGGCAGAAAGCAGGACTATTAGGTGTTAGTTCAAATGCCACAACACACAGGATTATGCAACCAAAACAGCTCTGTAAGATTTGTACAGACCCAACATGTACGCCCACCAACCTTGGATGATGCTATCGCTCGGCCCCTTGCACCGCTCACAGATGTGGTGACCATGTGACTCTGGCACGCAGCGTTCTGTTGTGCTGACACAGTATCTGCTTCTCCAACAGTGGGATGAGAAGGCAGAAGCTGAGGGGATGCCTCTGGGAGCTTAATTTTAAGGGAGGGATATGGTCAGTTTCTTATAGAGCCATCTCGAGAGGTCCCCTGCTGGAATGACCTGTGTACATGTCAGCAATTTGTCTGCAAACAATGTCATCAAGTGATGTTCAAAACATTGTGTAACAGACTGACAAAAGTAAACAACCAAGTAGAAGCTTATAGAGATGGTGTCTGTGGAAGTTACTTCAAGAAAGACGGGCTCAAGATGAACTGTGCAGATGAACTGTGCAGATGAAGGGGAAGAACTGGTTATCAGTGTAACACTTAGGACTCAAGGATTTATGCACATTAGCCTGTTCCTTTACCTCTCAAAATGATCTGTCTACCTGTGCTGGGGAAGGTAAACACCTCTCCACATTTCTGACTCGCTGATAGTTGAAAATCTAGTACTAAGCCTCTTGCCCTGGCCCCCCTTCTCCGTGTTCCTTGCATTCCTTATGAGCCTTTTGGTGAGTAATCCCTGCACGTGAAAATGCACCTCCCAGCATCTGGATCCCACACACAGCACAATGACTTACTGCGAGCAGACACCCGCTGACCTGGCTGTTTCCTGCACTGCGCTCAGTTTGTTCTCTTTTCTTCTGTCGTCGCTGTCGAGACAGGGAAGGTTCAGACGCAGAGCTGTGTGGCTGTAAACATGGCTGTATTCTGCCCCGTTCTTCTATAATAGCTTTACCAGCAACTTGATCCTTAAAAATCATAAAACAAAACTATACAAAAGGCCACCACAGAATAATAGTCTTTTGAACTTCAAATGGCTAAATACCTACTTTACAATGCAATTAAAAAAAAAAAAAAGATAAAAGTGCAGCCATGGATATAGTTCAGCAGCAAAAGCAAGATCTTGGTAAGAGCAAGATCCTGAGTTCATTTCCTGGGACTTGTCCTCCCCTCTCCCACACAAAGATAAAACTGCAAAATCAAAATGAGAAGGAACAATTGTCTTTCTCAAAATGAATGTTCATCTGCAGTGCTGACACACAAAGTATTCTGGATATTTTTCTCTTTCCCCATTCTCCTGTATACTTTAATTTTTATTTATTTATTTATTTGGTATAGGCAGGGCCAGCATGCAGTACCAGGGATGAAACCCAGGACTTTGTGCTTGCTAGGCAGGCAGGCAGGCAGGCACTAACAGCACCAAGCTATCTCACTGGACTCTCTCCTGTATACTTTATGCTATTTGTTTATTTATTTTTTAATTTATATATTTGGTACCGGGTCTCACTATGCAGCTCAGACTCGTAGTGATCCTCCTGTTTTCACCCTCCCCAGCACTGGGATTATAGGCATGTACCACCATGCCCAGACTCGGTTGCAGGCTCAGTGTGCCCTGGAGGCGGGGCCAGCATGGCATGTGGAACTAGGAATCAAACCCTGTTGCCTGCACTCTCCCGTATACTTTTTTTTTTTTTGGCAGTCCCAGGGATTGAACTCAGGCCCTTGTGCAGCTGCGACTCTCCTGTATACTTCAAAGCATCTCTGGACTGCATGCACTGCCTACAGCAATGTAAATGCCATGCAAATAATTCTAACATTGCTTAAGGAGCGAGGGCTAGAGAAAGTTTGAACACATTCAGTGCAGATGAAATTTCTCCTCCAAAATTTTTGACACTGTGACTACTTGAATTTATAGATGCAGAAAGCGTAGATACAGAGTGCTGGCTACAGTGCTGTTTGAGTTGGCTGAAATGGGATACTAACAGTAATTAGGACTATACTATTTATTTGAGGCTCAAAAACTGTGACCTATTGGTGGCAGCAGTAATAGTAAAATAAATTATCTTTTAAGTTATAAAGGTCATCAGGATAGCTAGTTTTAGAAGTCAATATATACCAAACATTAACATAAGACAGTTCTATTTATTAAATCTCTTTTAACCTATCAAGAGTATTTGAGTGTTCATGACTGACACCAGTAAATGAATATCACTTAATCAACACTTCATTTATTTGTTTATTTATTTATTTATTTAGTTATTGGTAGTGGAAATCGAATCAGGGGATTCACACTGAGCTATATCCCCAGCCCCTTTTTAAAATTTTTATTTTGAGCCAGGGTCTTGCTAAGTCCCTAAGTTGCTCAAACTGGGCTTGAATTTATGATCCTCCTGCCTCAGCCTCCCAGAGTGCTGGCCTTACAGATGTGCACCACCACTCCCAGCAGGGAAAAGTTTCATTGTTCCTCAAAAAGTTAAACATGGGCAAGGTGGCTACCATGATGATTAGACAGGAGTTAGATGCCAGTCTAACTCTAGCACTCTGGGAGGCTAAGACAGGAGGATCACAAGTTCAAGTCAACAATAGACAACTTAGTGACTTTGCAAGAGCTGTCTCAGCATAAAAAATATAAAAGGGCTGAGGATACACCTCAGTGCAAAGGCCTTGGGTTCAATCCTTAGCACTACAATGTTTTTTAAAAAGTTAAACATAAACCAGGTAGTGTCACACACTTGTAATCCCAGCTACTCAGGAGGCTGAGGCAGGAAGACTGTAAGTTCACAGCCAGCCTGGGCAACTTAACAAGGCACTATCTCAAAATAAAAAATAAAAAGGGCCAGACATATAGCTCAGTATAGAGCACTCCCAGATACAATCTCCATACCACACACACACACACACACACACACAAAGTTAAACATGAGTTACAATCTGACTGAGCAATTCTTAAGTATATACTCACCAGAACTGAAAGCACACAGCCATATAAAAATACTTATCATGCTCATAGCAGCACCGACCACACTGGCCCAAAAGTAGAATCAACCCAAATAGTTAGCAACTGATAAATTCTCATCAAATGATAAACAGGTATATAAAATATCACAGATACCTACAAAGGAATTTATTTGGCAACAACAACAAAAAAATACTGGCTACTCCATAGGTAAACCTTGAAAATAGTCTACTAAGTAAAAGAAGCCAGACACAAGTAGCCGTAGCTGTATGACTGTATCAGAATAGGCAAATACACAGGAATAAAGTTGTCAGGGTTTAAGGGTAAGAGAGAATGGACAGGGCCTATTACTGAGTCCAGGGCCTATTACTTCTTTTCACCAGGTGATGACAGTATTCTTCTGAGTTTACACTGCAACACAGAATAACTAATGGATTTTCCTAACAAAAACTGAAGCACGAACGTCTTTTTAATCACAGCTCCCAGTGCTCCCTCTGGAACCCAGGCCTACTGCGTCACCAACCTGCTCCTCTGGCCTCTGACCTTTGTGTAGAGGCTGTACTGGCTTTGCGGCTCCAGTCCCTTCCTCACTACCGTCATCGGAGGTCTGTGCAGGAATACAGTTTTCAGGCCAGGCACTGCATGGAGTGTCAACCTGCAGACTCTCCTCTCTCACTTGGGAAACACTGCATTTATCTTCCGGCTCATTGGAGGCATTCAGGTGTCCTGGATCAGTCTTCTGGGCTAAGTCACCGTTCGCTGAATCCCTCCTCTCTGCAGGTAAGACATCGATATCCACCCTACTGATGGTAGCTAGAGACTCTGCAGTATTGCTCCCGTCTGCTGTGTTCGTGTGGTCTTCTGGGGTAGCAGGTAACTTCGAGGGCCAAATGCTGATGGGTTTCTCCTTGGACAAATGTTTATCTTCATTCTGAGCAAAAAGGTGTTTCCAAGTTATAGCATGCCTCACACCTTATACAAAAATTAACTCATAATTAAACATGTTCCTCAAAAGATAAACACAAAATTATGATATAAATTATCATAGAATAGTTGTATTACCAACAATTCCACTCCTAAGTACAGAACTGAAAGCAGGGACTCAATGTGCACCAATAATTCTCAAAAGATAGAAACAACCAAAACATCCATTAGCAAACAGATGGATAAAAAACGTATTACATACATGTAATAGAGCATTAGCCATAAAAAGAGAGGAAATTCTAACACATGCTACAACATGGATGAACATGAAAACATGCTAAATGAAAATGCCAATCACAAAAGAATAACAGTACATGATTCTATTTATATAAAATAGAAAAATTTAGAGAGACAGAAAATAGAGAAGTTATG